GGACATGGGTTAGTCAGGGACTTGTCAATGTGAGGTTAATGGTTCCAATCTAGGCAGTTCTGCGATTCTGTGAGCTACAGGGCTAAACCTAGAGCTTCTCCTCTCTTCAGCTGGTGAGAAGCTTGTTTAGGCCTTGCTAGGAAGGGGATCTATTAAAAAATGGACAAACACAAAATTACACGACCTGTCTTTCTCAGTTCTGTGGGAACCAGGTTGAAATAGCCGCTGTGTTTGGGGTAGTGTCATAGTTTCAACAGCTTAGTTGATCCACTAGTATTTTTAAACCAATCCTGTGAAAAAACAACCCCTCCCTGCTCCACCTCCTTTTTTCTTTTATTGGTCTGACCATTAATGTTACTGCAGGTTTGCAGTGACCTCAACAAAAGAGAAGTGGCTTTAAAATTGAATTATGCCTCTGTGATTCCTTGTGCTGCTATGCGTGTGCTTGCACCTGCTGCAGGCTGACCCTGCTTGTTTAGGGAATGATGGGATGATTGTTTTTAAGAAGGAAGATTGATTTGAACTGATTGTGGATTAGTGTTGTAAATGAATAAGCGTTTGGCTTGTAGGTGGTTTTTTTTTTCCCTCCTCTATTTTAATTAATGTGATGAAGGGCACTCTTTGCTATGGGATCATAATTTCTCTGACTTTTTTTAGATTTTTGGTGTCACTTGGTTTGAAAACTGCTCTGCCAGAAAAAGAATGCATAGCTGTGGCAGTTAGGGCTCTAGTTTTCTGAGCTGATGGCTGTCTCATAATTGTGTTGTGAGATAGTAATGGTTGAACTCCAAACTGTTGGAAAGTAAAACTTGTTAGTCTTGTCTTCTCAGTGACGTTGTTCTTCATGTGTTAAAGGCAGGACTACTTTTAAGGCCTAGTCTGGGAGCCCTGAATAATCAATTGTATGGAATACTGATTCATGTCCTTTCTTCTCACAGCCTGAAATTTTACACATGATTTACATGAGAGTCCTGCAGAAGGTGTATGGAATCCGCCTGGAACATTTCTACATGGTATGTCTGTAGTGGCAGGTGAAGGGGAAAAAAAGATTACACTTAACAATAACAATTAAATGTTGAATTATCTTCCTCTTATCTTCTCACTAGCAAATGGCAAGTAGCTTACTGGTTTGTGTGTTGTAATTGCATGAACGGGAGCTTAGAAATTCTCATTGCAGAAAACTCGTGTGTGAGATGCTGTGTACCACGAGCATTTGCATTTGTGTTCAGGGAGGCAGCTAGTCTGTTCACTTGGGCAGGAATGAGTGTGCAGTACCGCTTAGGCTGTGAGGAAGGGCTCTGTGGAGAGCCTTCTCCTTCTGCAGTTAAACTGTGAATTCTTTTTCCAGGAGGAATTAGACAAGCTTATGAAGGGACACTGACTCTGGCCTCGAAATACATGCTGTCTTATTGGGCATCTGCCTTTGGCCATGGCTGGAAGAGAGTCTCTGCTTAGATGTTAGACTGGTCTAGAGGGAAAGCAAATGTCACTTTTAATGTTTGATCACCTCCACTTCTCTGTTAGCCAAGAGGAAAGTAAGGAAAAGTGCAGCTGGAGGTTAACTAATGCCTTGCTGGTTAACAGTTTATCTTCTGTTTCTGTTGGATAAGAACTGATTCCTGAAAGTGAGAATAAATAGTATTGTCTTGTGCCATTTTTTGATAAACTGAATGGGAAGATCATATGTGCATGAGATGATCCAGTTCTTCACAGGCAATGGCATTAGCTGGGATACTGTATTATGAGGTCTGAAATACCAGAAAAGGTGACAGTGTAACACCATCTTCTTCTGACTTCTTCATAAAACAGCTGAGTGTGTGAATTCAGGGTGTTTAAAGAGCTTCTCATTGTTAGGTGTGTAATGCAGAGACTGTCCTTCTGCACCAGTTTTGAACAAATTAAAACAGAGGGTTTAAATCGAATTCCAGAGTTTGTAATGTTGCTGCTTTAGTTATTATTGTCTTTTTATATTTTGACCATCCAAAACTGACACTTAAAATAGTCTAATGATTAACTTGATGGCATTCTTCAGCTTCTAACATGTGTTCCCTGTGAATGGGGAGACCATCCTCAATGTGTTTAACCTACTGGAATTATTCTGTGTTGTGGAAACAAACCTGTGTATTTTTGTTTGAGTGTACTCTACTTATGCATTCTCTCTCTTTACTCTTTAGATGCCAGTCAACGCTGACATAATGTATCCGCAGATATTTGACGGTTTTCTACCTGTTTGTAATTTGTATATTCACATGTAAGTAGAAGATGCTGCACCTGTTCACTTCCTATTCCTTGTAAAGGTCCAATTTACTAGAAGTAGCAGGGCTTTAGGCATGTCTTCTGATGGTGGTTCCACTGCTTGTTGGCTCTGAGCAAAGGGAAATTTGCAGGTGAACAGGGGACAGCGATGTTTAATGGAGTAAAATTCTCAGTAGGCAACTGTCTTGTCAAAATGAATGTGTTAACTAAATTATCTGGCATCACCAAGATGGAGCACAAATCTAGACTTTGAAGGGCTGGAGGGTCATCATTACACCCAGAAGAGGGATCTTGAATACCTGTGATGTAAATTTGCTGTCTGAATTCTATGTAGATATCTTTGGAGTGAAGTGAGTGTTAGACTTTAAGCTTCATTTCAGTGTAAGAGGAGAATTGACTAACAGTGAAGCGTAGGAGCTCCCAAATTAAGTTGAGAAGTTGTTCTGCAGGCAAGTATTTTGTCTATAGAAATCTTTGTGAGATGCTGTAAGAATACATATTTTTAATGCTGATCTGTGTGGGGGGGGTTCTGCTGTGTTACTCTCTTAAGACTTACTGTGATGTGTTTGCTCTGGGATGGGAGGGCAAGATCTGGTTTTTAGTAAAGGGATAAAACACAGACACTGAGCAGTGGTGACTGCAGCTAAAGCTGTGTTTTGTTTTCCTTGCAGGGAGCGCTTACTTCCAGTGTGCCGGATTAATGATTTTCAAATTGCTGATGTTTTAAACCCAAGTAAGCAAGTGTGATCCTGGTGTTTGTTGGGGTGGTGGGTATCACTTGATATCACTTGAAATGCAGGTGCTTTTTCTCATTTGGCATAGCCAGATGGGCATCTCATACAGAGAACCATCCCTGGCTTCCAGCTGCTCTTCTGACCCTTGCTGAGGCCCTTAGATGAGCTGGTTCTAATGAGCAGTTCTCCTTCCTTCTGTAGGCTAATCCAGGCAGATAACTGAGGGGAGTTTTGAATGCTATGAGTCTGTAGAACTCCTGGTCTGGAGAGTGAACTGTGGTGTAACTTGAAATAGTGTAAGAACAGATGGAAATGAAAACTGGCAACTGCAGAATGCTCTAGGATTTCTTATGCTGACGCTTATGTAGGAACTCCAGCAATGGAATTTTTGTTTC